CCCCAAAACCCCAAAACCCCAAAACCCCAAAACCCCTTCCAATTTAAATCTATTAATTTTCTAATGAAATCAAATCTGGAATGATACAGCTAAATGTAGCTGCAAACAACCCAGAAGAGAAGTAAGGGATTGAGGCTATGAGACTTATTGACAGCTTCCTTTTTGCTAGAATTTTCTTTGCTATTCGAACAAAGTAATGAAGAGTAGACAAGAGTTACTTATTATGCATTTTTACAAACTAATTCCTTGAAGCCCGCATTCTCAGAGGTTAGAGCTAGGAAATCGTTCATGGCCAAATCTCTGTTCATTTTCTCACATAGCACCCTAAAATCAAATACAAGTTTTAAAAGAGTATAATTATTTCAGTAATAACATTCTTAATTTTTCCTTAAATCCTTCTAACCTTCTTCTTTTTATTCTTCGGCTTCTTCACATTTGCATCAGTCTTCGTTCCAAACAGCGAAGCTCCGCTAACCTTGCTGGACTTGGCTGCAAAAGAAGGTACCTCTGTTATATTCATAGTCTCTTCAGAGTTACCAGCATTAGAGTTCATCATATTGCTAAAGTTCTGGAGCGGCCCCTTGACCTTATCCTCTTCTTCCATACTTACATCTCTGTTCGAAGCCTGCCTGTATTGGAACTTGATACTGCTGATGAACTTCTCTTTGGTTTCTTCTTTTAAAAGCTTTGGGGCAGCCTTGGGGAAGATGGTATTTTCATTCTCATCCACTTCATCCGATTCCTTAGATTTCAAAGCATGTATTTTGGTGATGAGCTTGGCCATCCGGGAATACTCTTCATAGTCATCCATGAATAGTCTCCCAGCTTCTTCATTCAAGCTGCTTTCAGGGAAAGGAATTATTAGAAGACACCTGATAACTCCAAGGATATGCTTGAGAGACCATTTGGCAGGGTTCCAGTCTTTCTTCAAAGTATTAACACAAATATCTCCGTTCGATGCAACATTCGGATGAAAAATCTTTGTCAAGAAGTATCCCTTGGGGGCAACTCTTGGGAATTCACTGTCGATTCTTAGGGTTCATCTGAAAATACCTCCTTCATAAGGGGTGTCGACTATGAGAATATTAGATTTTTGGAAAATTCTAACTGAAAAAGGAAATCACAAACTTTTAACATCAGCTTACCTGGGCCTTCAATATCAGCTTTGATGTCGGTTACATCTGTAGGATTTTGGATCAGTGTTATGCCTATAAAATCAGTTGAGAAAATGAAAGAATCACAAAATCCAATCGTTTAGCAAATCCAAATGCGGCAGATGAAAATTCTGGTCTAAAATCTGCTTTAAAAGCAGTTACATGCCTGCTAGCAGGCATGTAAACTTCCTGCTGTTATTTCTACACATCTTTAGGCTAGTACTTATCCTCTGGAATTGAGGAAGGAAGTAATCCTTCTGTGAATTCAGTTATTCAGAACCTGTGAAGTGACTGTTTTAGCAATAATCCACACTCAAACGGGGGAAAATAGCTTCTAATTACCTTCTTGGGGACTATCAATGAGCATCTTCTGTTGCTTGGCCAAGGCTAGTAATATCTTCGGGTTGATATCTGCTACTGGTGCTGAATTCTATACTTGATTGTAAGAAAAACTTCATGAGTCGTGGGAGCTTACCATTTGTAAATGTAATAAAATTATTTAACGTTAGTTTTACCAAACTGAATATCAATAAGAGATAGAGGTTTAGGGGTTTTGGGGTTTTGGGGTTTTGGGGTTTTGGGG